GCTGGATTAGGATTGTTAACGCCATTAACGCTGCTTGTAGATGCTGGTTCTATGGGAGTTATCGGCCCCATTGCCATCGTTGGGTCTGCACTTTTAACACTTCCAGCGAAATTCAACGCATCCATTAGAGGGCTGGCTGTTGGTTTGAAGTTGGTATTTTTAGTTGTTGTGCCATCCATTTTAACACCTCCTGTTCCAGTACTCAAAGGCATCGATGTTGCTGTAATCTCAGGTTCTTTTAGAGACGTGGGTCTTGGCGTTGATTCACTATAAGTCGGTGTTGGCGTTGATTCACTATAAGTCGGTGTTGCTGCTTGTGCTGGATTAGGATTGTTAACGCCATTAACGCTGCTTGTAGATGCTGATTCTACGGGAGCTATCTGCCCCATTGCCACCGTTGGGTCTGCACTTTTAATACTCCCTGCGAAATTCTCAATTGGAGAGCTAGCTGTTGGTTTGAAGTTGGTAATTTTAGTTGTTGTGCCATCCATTTTAACACCTTCTGTTCCAGTACTCAAAGGCATCGATGTTGTTGTAATCTCAGGTTCTTTTAGAGATATGGGTGTTGCTACTGGTACTGGATCAGCATTGCTAACAAGTACTGATCTTAGCGGGTTTACCAACGGAAAGGTTGGTTGACTGATAACATAAGATGGCGCTGTATTCCCTGTTCCAACATTTATTACATGGCTGGCGAGTTGAACATCTTGCTTATTTGTACTAGAATCCTGCACAACTACGCATTCAGCAACACAGACACAAATCACAAACACACTGATCAGCTTCATCGCCATCTTGTATATCCGAATGTTAGATTTAAAATAAATTTCACTCTACATTCAGCATTCAAGAGAACGATCACAGCCAGAGATGACAAAAAAGACACTCTTCACATCTATGTACATGTACTTTTTACTTAAGCTCTGGGCTAACGTATTACTGACATTTTTTTAATATGGAAATACATTGACTGATTTATTTATGACAGTCGCTATATCTCTTTAAACAAATCAAATCTTGAAATATTTATGACGCACACGCCTATACAACCACACACTGACTTTCAAATTTTTTTCCGTGAAAATGAATCATACTTTTTATATACATGTAAAAGAAAAATGTGGGATAAAAAAAGGCAACGTGTAACAATTTCATTTCTCGGGTAGGCCTGTTATAAAATTGTGATATTTATGTATGGGTGACGAACACAGCCTATACCACCACACATTGTCTTTCAGGGTTTTTTTACGTCAACATAGATCTTACTTTTTATAAAAGAAAATGTTCATTTTGTATCTGCCAATTTAAATATTTTATCTGCCAACAATGTGTGATAACAAAAGACCTGTTATAAATCAGCTACCAGAACAATATGATGCAAATCCTTCTATACATAATACATTAGCTCAGTTTTGAAATGATTTACTAAGATCAGATTTTATTTTTACTGACTACTGGTGACTTTAGTCTATTCGTACACCGTATTTAACAATATTTGTTCTATATTACACGTCAAATCTCATCCAAGGATTGCCTACTTTCCAGTTGTCTTTAAATTTACGTTTTGCGTGTACAATACGTATTTTCAGATACCGTAAAAGTATCAGAATCTAAATCACTGATATAAATTTCAATTAGATTAGCTTTCATTTTTGCATCGCAAGTTCACCAAAACGTTACCGCAAACAAAATCGCCAAAATAACATTTTAATCGCCACTGGGTTTTTTTTTTTTTATCGCAAATTGCGATTCTGGCGACCAACAGCGTGAGCCCTGATTAAGTTAATGATACGCATATTCCTTTCGTACCCCAGTGGAATCACCGATAAGATGCTCTTGTAACATCGCCCAGACGAAACTTGAACGGAATCGCCCAGTCGATACACTAATGGAACCATTCAAAAGAGGCTCTCGTGGAATCGCTTAGACGTGTTAGCAATTTCAATGGTTATTCTAATTAAATTATCTAAATTTCTAGTCTCGTTACAGATACAAATCATGGTAGCCAGATAGATAAAAAGTACATTTTTTTACACGTGGCTTTTCAGGTCTTTGATGTTAAATATGTCTGTTAATTGTTTGAACTCTTCTAATCATTAGTAATAAGAATGGTTTCACATTGTACATATATATAGACCCTCAAGTTTACTAAATGTCATTGTGCTTGATAACGATAAGAGAATACTTATCGAAACGTTGTGCTTGTGTATAATAAACCAGTGATTGTTGTCCCATATAACTGTGTCAGTTTTTTGGGGTTTTTTTACACGGTGGTTGCGTTGTAGACATATATCACAGATAGCAAAAAATTTGATCCGATGGTTACACATTCCGCACACAGAGATCCAGCTACTTCATATTTCGAGAATAGATCTCTGATCTAAATGGCTGCCATATCTAAAAACTAGTATACTTTTTTTGTATTTAGGTTCTACTAAGTTTCACATATGTCATACACACAAAGACTAAATAAACTTTTTCAATTGTATTAAATGGAAGCAAAATAAATCCTTAACAAAATTCTCGAAGTTTACTTTGTGTTTTCGACTAAACTCGTCGATTTAGGACTTAAAATGTCGGTCAACTAGCTTAGTGTTTGTTCTCAAGCGGAGCTAATTGTAGAAAAACAGCCTAAGTTTAGTATGGGTGGTAAAACTGTAAATGGGCTGTTATAATCTAACAAATGGTTCGTGCAATCAGAATAACAGATTCTGATAATGGCAAGCAACCCGATAGTAAACATGAAAGAAAGAACATTTTTTACAGGGTGGCCTTAAACTGTTGACCATAACTGTAGTAGTACATATTCCCAGCTGAGCTATACTGTTGATTTGTTTTGTAAATTTCATTACAACCCCTGTCTATAGAACGACCTCATTAAAGGCCTACTAATTTGACAGATTTTGGACTTTGTTGGCATAGACTGGGTTGAGGGAGAGGAAATCTTAGGCGTACTTTTCCACCATGATTGACGTCTCAAACGTGCCACTTATTGACGTGACCTGACAATTTAAGCCAATGAAAACAGACTAGGAGGTTGGGTGACCGAGTGGTCTAGCGCGTGCGCTATAGATCATAAGGTCTGTCATCGAGCGTGTTTTCGATTCACGGCTTGTTCGTGACAGGGAGTAGGGTAGCCTGCTCAACATCGCGCTGCTTTGTCCGGGGACCCCTACAGCTAAAGACCCTTAAAAATGAAATAAAACTGAACCATTGGGCCATATGTTAGTCTGATCCGACGGATTTGGTAATATTGCTTGTCAGGCCAATCTAATTAAAACACAGATCCTATTTCGTTTCGTTTTTTTATAGCTCAAAATTTCGTTTTACTTGTCTTTACTACACTAGTATCTGGAATGGTTGTTATCATTGACGTGTTCTGGATGATGTGAGACATTAGCCAATGGAACTTTCTGTTAAGGCGAACAGCTGGCGTGAGCTGCACGGAACCGTATGTAATCCACTAGAAACATCAATTAAGCGTTGGATAATCAAATATCTGACGTCATAGCCTCACAAGCCGATCGTATGACCCCTGATGCGACCTATCACTACTACTGGTCAGATCTTCATGTAGTGTAGGCTACCGAAAGTATACAAAAACGAAACGAAATATAGATCTGTATTTTAATCCGATTGTTGTCAGGCATTCCGTCCTGTACACCTGACAAGAGGGAACTTGACCGGATCATCAAGGGAGACTTTCTCAGTCAACTCCGATAGGCAACCCTAGAACCCCGGGTTAGCGAGCAAACGCTATGCTCACTGTAAGATACAATCTATCTCGCCCGGTACACAGCAGTTAAAATGGCTCCTTGTAGATAACATTTTAGGATGTCCCCAATAATATTGCCAGTACAATCAAAACTCGTATCGGTATCGGTAACCCAAGAGAAACAAAATGTAGATAGCAAGCACTTCTTTTCAGGTTGTTATATATTCGAAATAAAACCTAATTTCGAAAAACAACCCCGGGAATAGCTTGCTATCTGGCTTACACATTGCTTCAAACTATAAAGGTTAACACCCCACTGGTCTGCTCCGAACTGGGTTAATGAAGCACGACCATACGCCATACAGTGTGCTATGAGAGAAATTTTGCCCGGACAGCGGCGCGCTACGGTCTACTCTTACATCGAATTCCAACTGCCAAGATATCTTTTACATGCACGCCAATGTGTACACGGGACCTCGTTGTTTCGTCTCATCCGAATGACTAGACAGCTGTCCTTGTCATGCCCTCCGTCCTGCATCACTGGCAAGGGGACACCACGCCGGAAAATCTGGATGAACTTTATCGGCCAATGCAGGGATCGAACACCCGACCTCCAGACTAGCGAGCCAGCGTCTTACCCACGTGATCCCCGTCTTATAAGCAAGCTGTACTGAATGTTAAATCGTATATGAAGCAGTAGCCAGATGACTGATAAGATCCTTTGTCTCGGGGGCTTTATAAACCAATAATTGAAACGAAACCGGGAGACGAGGCTAGGACGGGGCGTCTAGAAGTTAACTTGGGACCAGACAGGTCTCGGGTTAAGACCGAACAACGGCCATGTAAATTAGTTGGGAGTTGGCACACTCGTGCCAAGCCAAGTTTCCCTTTGCACCACTGACAAGGGGAAACCACACCGGAAAACCCCGATAAACTTTCTCGGCCAATATCGGGCTCGAACCCGCGACCTCCAGGCTAGCGAGCCAGCGTCTTACCCACTTAGCCACCGTGATCCCCATCAATAGTTTCTATGGGAGATATAAATGGGGTTTAACGCCCTACTTGATACGGGGAATAGACATCTTAAAGTATCAATCAATAGAAATGGGGTTTAACGTCCTACTTTTCTGCACCGGCTGGGATAATGAAGACGGTACTATGTTCGATATAACCCGGAGGTGAATAATTGTCAGACTAGGTCATACAATAACACAATTAACCTTTATCAGACGGAATCGGATGTGATTTTGTATACTTTTAGAGTATGAAATAAAAAAAAACTCACCAAAACATTAATGTTAGACTGTAGATAAATTTTTGCACGCCTTTTGTTCATTTCTTCTAAAATTGCATATTTCTGTTTTTTGGTCACTCCGAACGATTTCTCCAGTTCTTTGTCTTCAAAATACGAAATGAAATTGTTCGCGGGAAGAATTTTCGGCAAGTTTCGTCTGTCCGCAGGCGGCTTTATTGGCTTTGGAGTTGCGACTTGCACAGGAACCTGCTGACCTACAGGGGGTTTGCGGTCAGTATTATGCGAATAATAAATATTCATGAGAAATTTTGGTTTTGACGTTCCTTCCATGGGAGGTGTCGTGCCGTCCGCGTTAGTGTTGGTATCTATGTTAGGATCGATACCTGCCGGGGAGATGATAACTGCCGGCGATTGGGTATTCGTCTGAGCCACGTTACTTGAAGGTGCAACAATTTTCTTTGGTAGGGGGCGTGCGGCCATTGGCGTTGGTTGGGGTCGTGCGAAATGCGGAAATAGTGCCGAATTAGAGGTTTTCTGTGGTGCTGGTTGAGCAAATTGTTGTGTTGCTGGCGGAACATATTGTTGTGGTGCTGCTCGAAAATATTGCTGTTGTGCTGTTGATGCATTCTGTTGTTGTGCTGGCGGGGCATATTGTTGTTGCGCTAGCTGAATATTTTGCTGTGGCGCTGTTGGAGCAATCTGTTGTTGTGCTGGCGGGGCATATTGCCATGGCACTGGTTGAATATTTTGCTGTGGCGCTGGTTGAGCAATCTGTTGTTGTGCTGGCGGGGCATATTGCTCTGGTACTAGTTGGATATTTTGCTGTGGCGCTGTTGGTGCAATCTGTTGTTGTGCTAGCGGGGCATATTGCTGTGGCGCTGGTTGAAAATTTTGCTGTGGCGCTGTTGGAGCATACTGTTGTTGTGCTGGCGGGGCATATTGCCGTGGCACTGGTTGAATATTTTGCTGTGGCGCTGTTGGTGCATTCTGTTGTTGTGCTGGCGGGGCATATTGCTCTGGCACTAGTTGGATATTTTGCTGTGGCGCTGTTGGTGCAATCTGTTGTTGTGCTAGCGGGGCATATTGCTGTGGCGCTGGTTGAAAATTTTGCTGTGGCGCTGTTGGAGCATACTGTTGTTGTGCTGGCGGGGCATACTGCTGTGATGCTAGCGGAACAACCTGCGGTGCTGGTGTAACAGACTCCTCGGGTGCTGGTGCAGTAGCCGCGTCACTGCTAGTTAGCCGTTTGAAACTCGCACGTAGATGCGCAAACGGTAATGGTCTGGATTCTATTGGTGGCGTACTAGCATTACTTTTCGTATTTTGTTGTACAGTTTCTGGATCAGCCGATGATTTAAATGCGTTCACCCGTTGTTGTAGATTAGGAAAATATTTCTGAGTTGATTGTGGTAACGGTTGCGGAGTTTCTGTTTGCACAGGTTGAACATCCGCCGGCTGTTGAGGTTGGAGAACCTGCGTCTGTTGAGGTTGCAGAACCTGCGGCTGTTGAGGTTGCAGAACCTGCGGCTGTTGAGGTTGCAGAACCTGCGACTGCTGAAGTTGGCCATACTGTGGCTGTTGAAGTTGGTCATACTGCTGCCATTGAGTTTGCTGAACCTGCGGCTGTTGCTGTTGAAAGTTCTGTGACTGTTGAAGTAGCCAATACTGCGACGGTTGAGGTTGCTGAACCTGCGGCGGTTGAAGTTGCTGAACCTGCGGCGGTTGAAGTTGCTGAACCGGCGGCTGTTGAACTTGGCCATACTGCTGCTGTTGCGATTGAACATCCTGCGGCTGTTGGGGTTGGCCATACTGCTGTTGCGATACAGCATACTGTTGTGGTGAGGTGGCGCTCCCTCCTGATCCTAGATTATTTGCTGATTTAGGGGCTTCTGCATTATTCAATGTTGCTTGGTTGTTGCTACTATATAAAGCATTAGCTAATGATGACACGAGATACGGTCTTCTGGGTGCACCATTATATGGGTTATATCCAACGGGAGTAAAAACGCATTCACAAAAACTAACACTCAACAAAATTAAGCACACCACTTTTAGCATCATTTTGAAACTTACAGAATTACATCTAAAAACGAAATACACTTATGCAATCAGAATATAGGAGACGACTGGTCTATGCGAGTTCCGTCCAGCACACACGTATATATATATATATAAATATATATTATGCTACATGTCTAAACTGCCACTGGATTTTTTATTTCTGCCATGTGTGAAAGAATAAAAACAACAAAAAGAAATTGACTGATTTATGACCATTTATGAAAGGTCTAAAAATGAAAAAATCTTATCCGAATCTGTCTAAAACTGAAATATTATGCAGTCGTGATTGACACATTCAAATTGAGCGTGAATATTAAACAACGTCCCATTGTTGTTTTTTACTGCTTTACAAGTGAGTGATCGCATCATTTATTTTTAAATACGACATTTATTTTACTGATTTTTACTATTAACCCATCTCATTCTAGGACTAACATGGTCTAATTCCCTTTCATTAAAGTGCCTTTTGATGGCTACTCAACACCAATTAACTCATTCCAGAACTAATAATGGATAAAATTTGATTTCATTTATTGTCTAGTAATCTGGGTCTGTTTCACGAAATTTTAACTAAGATAAAATCCAAATATTAGTAATTTGATTGGATAATATTAGATTGATTTTAGTGCTTAGCCAATCAAAATTGAAGTATCTACTGGTTAAATTACAGATCTATATTTCGTTTCGGTTTTTTATATACTTTCGATGGCCTACACTATATGAAGATCTGACCGATTGTAGTGAAAGGTCGCGCCAGATGTCGTGCGAACGGCTTTTGACCATATGACGTCAGACACTGATTAATCAATCAGCGTTGAAGTTTCTAGTGGTTTACCCACAGTTCCGTGCATCGCACGCCAACAAGTCGCCGTAACAGATGGTTTCATTGGCTAATCCCCACATCATCCAGAACGCGGGATATATAACAACTATTCAAGACAAATCAAACGAATTTTTTAACTATAAGAAACGAAACGAAATAGGATCTGTGTTTTGATCGGATTGATTTTCTAGAGCCCTTGATTGGGGCACGACCAGGTTTGTAAGGTCTAACCCTAGCTGAACTTTACAATCATTAATCTCAGTTTATTCTGTAATTTATAACATTCTCAATAAATCACAAACAGGATTTAGACATGAAAAAAGAGAGATGGGTTTAACGTCCACTCGAAACAAACTAGGTCATTTCGGTACTAACATATGGGTCATAAACGGTCATGTTGTACTTAATAAGCTATGGCCATTTAACCATCCATAAATATTAGACTGAAAAATGGTTACGAGTGTCGGCCATAACATACGGGCACTTTTGAGTAAACAATGGGTTACGTGCCCTTGTTTTGAAATTAGTCTCGCTTAATTAGTCTGATTGACAGACCGGGGTAATCAAGACTACTTTTTTTACCAAACATAACAGAAAGCTGGAACAAGAAATTGAATTTAGAAAAACGCACGGTAGGCAACTCTGCAAATGTTTTAAGAACCTTATAAAATTTAAATGAAACTACTATTAGTATCATGTTCCTGCTTAATCTGAATGTTTCAGAGATATTATTTGTACTAAACCAAATGATGCCGCTCCTAACGGTACAGTTAATGATAAAACAATTTAAAACATGAACGAAGGTAATTTCTAAAGCTGCTTTAATAACCAAAACGCTAAATATTACTGTTATTCAGAATCGTCAACAATAGAATTTTACGGTTATAATAGTTGATAGACGTGCGAAGGCTATTTATAGACGCTTGTGCTAAGTGTTATCGTACCGCACATTCGCCGTGTCGAGTTCAACTTTCCGTAGGGAAAATTTTTAGTGCACGGGGCACCTTATCTTAGTAAGGATGAAATACTTCATTTTGTACTCTAAACTACATATAAATCCCTACAAACAAAGTTTTAAAGCAGGTTTATCCCGTTGTTCACAAAACCACTTTCAAAAGTACTGATATCTATATTAACGGGCAATTAAAGAGGGTATTCAAACATACTGTGACAAAATATACTCTCTTGGTGGTATCAATCAAATGTGGATATTAAAACCTTCCAAAGAATTACATGGTGGTTTGCAATCTAGATAACTTGCTTCAGTCTCATCTATACAAACGTTTGACTTTTCTACTTTGTACACTAAAATTCCCCATAGTAAATTAAAAGCTCGGTTAAAAGACATTATTCACAGTGTCTTTTCGTCTAAATCGGGAACTGTTAGATATGAATATCTAGTTGTTAATTACAATTCCAAATATTTTTTATTAAGAACCATAGTAATTCCAGAAATAAGTACACCATCAACGAGATAATTCAGATGTTGGACTTTTTAATTGATAATATCTTTATTGAATTTGGAGGGAAAATATATCATCAATTAGTAGGTATCCCCATGCGTCGATTAAATACAGGCACTCGTAAAAACAAATACACGATTAGCCAGACGTTTTAATCTCTAAATAATCTTAAATTTAGTGATTATTTAGAATTCATATTATATCCCGATGAGCTCGAAATTTAAACACTACTAACAGTAACAATTACGCTTACTACTTGGATCTGCGTCACGATTTTGTCAATTGCCATATACTGAGTGTTAAAGGTTCAATACCACTCTTGTTGTAACTGAATAATATGTCTCAATCTTTATTCTGGTCAACAAATTGTACTATTTTACAATATTCCAATAAATTTATGATTCAAATATATCTTAACACACCTAATTTAAAAAATTGGAAAAATTCAACTAAATGATTTGAAAAGCCTGACGTAAAGCTTTTAAAATGGGACTTGGATTTAAAAATATTTTTGAACCCTCTGGACAAGTAAAATAGGATTTAATGGATAATTTACACTAACACATCTAGTACTTAGAATAAGGCTGTTTTTTATTTTCTGGGGCTGTCAAGCCAGCAAGAGTGTTAATGTCCCTTTAAATTATACAATAAACGTGATGACTTTGACGTTACGATTGTCGTCAACATTCCACTATCATCAGCTAACGGACTGTATGTGTCTCAGTTCGAACGCTTGTTCCTTTTATTCTGATTTTTTAAGTAGATCGAGACCTTTGTCATCTAAGCTTCAACTACATGGATATTTGCCCACTAAACTTAGAAAACCTTTAAAAACTTCTTAACCTTGGGCCGGTTGTTCAAAGCCCCTTTAACTTATAACGACTCGTTAACATGATTATCTTTAACGTAGAGAAAGGTTGTTGCTGGAAGCCCCGTTAATTTTAACGTGTAGTTAACTTTGCGTTATATTTAACGAAGGTGTTGGGCTCCGTTATCTGTTTAACGATGGCATTAATCGGCTGTCAGTCGAAGTATACCCTTAGCAAAATTTCCTATAGATTACCAATGTAGTTTTCTATAGAACATTCTAGGGGTTGGGGGGGGGGGGGCACTATCACATTTACTATAGGATGAAATTCTATAGTATTCTAAATAATTTTGAGGGCCTGTAGGAAATAACAGCCACAAATAGTTTAAAGTTTCTGAAGTCGCAAATCCTATTATTTTTCTTGCAGATTTATGCTAAGGTTGGATGACCGAATGGTAAGCGTTGTATCATAAGGTCTGTCATTGAGTTAACTGGCGTGGTTTCGATTCCCCGGTTGTATGTGACAAGGCGTAGGGTCACCTTCCATTCTCGTGGGTTTCTCCGGGTCCTGTTAACAAACGACACATTAGTAAGATAACGATCAGTTAGAGTTTAACACGGAGGACTAATATAATTGAGTTTTGACCAACCGGCCCCTGATTAGAAAAGATAACGATCCAATTTTGGACCATTATCTTACGATTTTTCCGAGAAAGAATCCATGGCATAGTGGATTTGTTATTTAAATGTTGCATTAAAACGGTTTATATCCGTTTTATATGTTTGCGCAATATTGTCCGCAGCGTAGTTTGGATTTCTTACCGATAACTATGATTCGCAGGAAGAGACACAAGATAATGACGAACCTCGAGTCGGCCCGGCCAATAAAATGTATTCCATCTCTTTGAAGCTTGATTTATAAACATTCTTATATAATAAAGAACATGTTGAATGTTCCTTTTCAAATTTTATCACAATGTATATTGGTAAATCAGTAATATGTTAATTGTATATTTCTTGTGTCCCAAGAGGTCGATCAAAGGTAGCATTTATATACTCTTCAAAAAAAAGTAGGGGGTATTCAGAAACAATACAAAACTGCGGAAATGCACTGCTGTTTTTATTAGAGGCTACCAGTGTATTCTTGCAGTGTTGGCGGTTGACTTTGCCGAACCGATTGGAAAGCAAACATGGATAGATAAACCAGCACGCGTCTGTTTTCATCAACCCCTTCCTTGAAGTGTCAAATTTGACAATGAACCCCTCCCACGTGTATGGCACTATTGCGTGTCGCATGTGCAGCTCAGTGGTTCTGTTGGGGCGATAAGTTCTTCATCTGTGAACATACTCTCAAAGCATGTCAAGTGTCCATGACTATTTATCATATCACAACCTGCATAGGTATTTGCATTTCAATATCCCCTACATTTTTGGAAGAGTATATATATAGAGAGAAAAAATGTTTAACGTCCACTCGACACAAACTAGGTCATTTCGGGACTAACACATGGTTCAATTTTATTTCAATAATTCGCATGCGCGTAGAGGTTTTTTCTTAGCAGTGGGAGGAAACTAGAGAACCCGGAGAAAACCCCCGAGGTTAGACAGGCGACCCCACTCCTTGTCACGTACAACCGGGGAATCGAAACCGCGCCAGTTGACTCAATGACAGACCGTATGATACAACACACACACATTTAACCATTCGGCCATCCAACATCCCGTATATAGAAGTTGTTTTACAACAAAAACAAAAGAAAAATCTTTTTTTATTTCCTATTTATATTTTTAAATTTTGAAAAACAATTTTTAATTTCTAGTTTTTTTTTTGTTTTTTTTTTTGTAAAATAACTATTAATTGTGTGATTAATAATTTTGTAAATTAATTTATAATTTTGTAAATTAATTTATAATTTTGTAAATTAATTTATAATTTTGTAAATTAATTTATAATTTTGTAAATTAATTTATAATTTTGTAAATTAATTTATAATTTTGTAAATTAATTTATA